GTTACATCCAGTGACAGAATTCTTGATTTGTTCATGGACGCTGAGGATGTCTTGCTCCAGTCCATGTTTGTTCATAATACTCTTCACAAACGCTTGTGAGCTCTGAATACAACCAGGCCCAGGTGGCTGCACAGCACAGCTTGCTGTATCCGGGCATTCATGTCTCTCACACACGCAGCTGCCACCACGCTCAGAGCCTTTGTGGATGGTCTCTCAGGGGCTCCTAAGCCATTCACAGTCCCCTCCACCCAAGCAATTCACCAGCGGGCCAGAAGGAACACAAAGGACCAGTTGTAGCTTGAATTCCCTAAGGGCCAGAGGGAAGCTTTCTCTAGTCAGCAGTTTTAGAGGGCACCTTGCCCAGGGCTGGAGGGGGAGCCTCTATGTCCACTCACATCTCACTCTCACACCCCAATAGCTCTCTGAGGATTTCTGAGGATCAAGTAAACACCATAAACCCTGTCCTTAATTAAGGGCCTATTAAAAAAAAAAAAAAAAAAAACCTCTTCTGAGGCTACAAGGCTTGTGAAAACTCATGAAAAGTGTCAGCAAGTAACAGAGATGGGGCTTACTGAAGCCAGAATGAAGACTGGGGCTCTTTCAAGATTCAAGATGAACTATGCAATAAATAGCAGTCCTGTTAGCAAATTACTGTTATGTCCATTTTTGTAACACATTTTTCTGTTGCCTCTGAAGAAATGGAGCACTTCATTCCCTAGCTCCCTTCTCTGTGGAGAGGAGATCATATTCTCATTCTGGCTCAGAATGAGTTGACTTGTCAAGGGTGTTTGGGTGTTATAGGCTTTCCTAAGTAACATGCCCCCCCACCCTAACAGAGATAAAGTACAAAACACCTTCTCTTAGAACACCAGTAAATCATAGATGTCTCTAAGATGCAGTGAAAAGCGTGCAGTGGATCCAAAGCATCGAAGTCCCAGGAATACAGAACTAACACCTAGACACATGCTTCCCAAGTTTGGTGATTATCTTTATGTCTCCAATTCATGTTTACTGCCTGGATCTTCCTCCCTGAAATGCAGACCTGAGAGTGTGCCTGCTCATGTGACATCTGTGAGGCACCGTTCTGCCCCAACTGCTCAGTATTGCACTGAAATGCCAACCTTCCCAGTGACCCTTGCCTTCCTTAGACTGAAAGAAACTGGAACTTCCAACTCCCAGAGTCTGCTTGTCCTTCCCTGCTCTATTTCTGCCTTACAAACTAGGCTTTGCTTATTTTGTTATAAATAATATATCCTCCTAATAAGTAAATGTATACCCCTAGTTATAATTCAAGGTCTACAGAGGCCAAGGGGAGATTTGCGTTTTCAGATACTGAAAATAATCTTGAGCCTTACAACTTGCAAATACATTTGAAGATGGATCTATTCACATCCTGTTCATAGGAACACTGAAGTTAAAGCAACTTGGCAAAAGAGATGGAAAGAAAGCCAGAGTAAAAAGATTAATTTTAAATTCAAGTTTGGAAATAAAGCAGGAATCATTACCAACTTCAAGCTTAAAACTCTCTGAATAAGAATAATAAAAAAATATTTTCCATCTGGAATAAAAATGAATACTTTCTGTGTTGATCAGAAACACATTTGCAGGGCTAGGGGTATAGCTGAATGGTAGAGCATTTGCCCAGCATGTGAGAGGCCCCAGGTTCAATCCCTACCACTGCCAAAAAAACTCCAAAAACAAGAAACAAATTGGAGACTAACATCAAGAAGATTCTACTGTAGCCTCACATTTTGAGAGTTTTATTCAGATTTCCACTCATAAATCAGACACATTTTTCTTTGTGATGCTGAGGACTAAACCTCACACGAGGTAGGTAAGCAACCTACCACCTAATCTACACCCCCAAACCTTTGCATGAACACTTTTTATTTTTAAGTGTGTGTGCATGTATTTTTGATATGTGTGTTTGTATGTGTGTGCATGTATGATGATGTGTGTGTATATGCATGTGTGAGTGGGGGCACATTCGAGACACAGCACCTCAAGGAGAGAGAAGACAAGGAAGGGGAGAATGGGAGAGGACAAAAGAGAGAGGAAGAGAGAGGAAGAAAGAGAGGGAGGGGAGAAATGGGGAGGGGAGGAGGAGAGAGAAAGATGAAGGAAAGAAGAATGGAAGGAGGAAAGGCATAGAAAGCAAATAAAGAAGTTAGAAAAACACATATGTAACCAAAGAAGGAAATACGATTTTAGTTACCTAAGATTTTTATAAACTGTAAATGAAATTATTCCTTAAGAAATTAAAGTACAGGAGCTGGAGAGATGGCTCAGCATTTAAGAGCACTGGCTGTTCTTGCAAAAGACCCAGGTTCGAATCCCAGCACCCACATGGCAGCTCACAACTGTCTGTAACTCCAGTTCCAGGGGATCTGACAGCCTCTTCTGTCATCCATGGGCATTGCACTACACAGGTGCACTTACCTACATGCAGGCAATACACAACATATACACATAAAAAATAATAAAATATTTTATTTTTAAAAAAAAGAGAAATTAAAGTACAGCCCAGAGTAGCACTCATAAATCAATCTAACATTTTTAAAAAATTTAAAGACAGGATGTTGTAAAAGGGGAAATTAAAACACAATTCTAACAGTAAATACAATGATATCTATTGTGTTTGTTACTCTCTTGCTTTGTCTATACACAGTGTGTGTGTTCACGTGCGCACGTGCATGTGTGGGCACATTTGTGTTTTTGTGTGTGTGTGTATGAAATGTCTGTAGTTATAGAAATCAAATAAATCTATGTGTAGCTTTTACATATAATTGTGCTCTAAACGTTTTACTGATAATGTTATCATCATTATAGACTTGGGGGGGGTGGGCATTGGTTTCTTGAGACAGGATCTTAAGTAGTCCAGGATAACCTTGAACTTCTGAGACTGGCCTTGAGCTCCTTATTCTCCTCCCTTCGCTTTCTCAAGCGCTTGGATTAGAGGCTTGAGCTGGTGCTAGCTTGTTTTGTTTGTTTGTTTTTTCCCTTTTTGAGACAGAGTCTCACTGCAATGCTCAATTTGACCTTAAACTTGACGTGATCTTCTAGCTAAGCTTCCCAAGTGTTGAGATTGCAGGCTTGTGCCACTCACCACACCGAGCTGAAAATGCTTATTTTGAGGCAAGGTTTCACTAAGTTGCCCATGCAGGCCTAGAACTTACTACATAGCCCAGGTTGGCCTTGAACTTGTGATCCTCCAGCCTCTGCGTCAAGTAGCAAGACCCGTATCAACAAACCTGCTTAGCTCTTTTTCTGTTCATTTTTGTTTTTTTGAGACAGTGTCTTATTCTGGCCCTGGCCAGCCTAGAACTCACTATGGAGACTATGTGAGCCTTGAACTCACAGCAATCCTCCGACCTCTGCATCCTGAGTGCTGGGGATTACATATATACAGCTCCATTACTCTCTATAACTTCATTTCTAAAGGAGATTTTTGCAGTAGTGAAATACTTATTAACTTGCTTTGAAACAGGTTGTAAGCTCTGGGGTTCGTATTTTACCTAGTAGGAATAACTAGCAATGTACTTCTGAAATGTGTGAACTATCATCCTGTCTGCATAATCATAAAAGAGTTGAAGAAAATGGTCATTTGTTGAACTAGTGTCTGTGTCACGTGTCAGATGATGTACTTAGACATTTTAAAACATGGTATGACCAGCATGGTAGAGCACATCTGTAATCCCAGTACTTGAGAGAGCAAGACAGGATGAGCTAGGATTTGAGGCCAGCCTGGGCTATATAGTAAGGACTTATACTAGTTTTATTGTTCCTGTGACCAAATTACTTGATGACATAAACAACTTAGTGGAGGAAGGTTTTCTTTTGGCTCGGAGTTTCAGAAGGTTCCAACTACTATTGCCTGGCCTCATGAACTTATCTTAAGAAATACACTCATAAGCTAATTTTGGATTCATACCTGAATCCCAGCACTTGAAGCAGAAGGATCAGAAGTTCAAGGTTATCTTTGACCACAAAGGGAATTCAAGGATAGCCTGGGCTACATGTGACCTTTTCTGAAACAAACAAACAAATCTCCTAGGTGTTCTTAATCTAATCAAGTTGACAATCAAAATTAACCATCACAGACCTTGTCCCAAGAAAGGCCTTTTTGGAACCTGGTTTCACTTCCTGTCCTCAAGGTGTGAGGTAGTGTACCTTGAAGATCCCTGACACCATGCCTTTCCCTCCATGATGGACTGTGTCTGCTTAAACTGTAAGCCAAAATAAGCAGCTCTTCTCTTAAAAAATTAAAGCCAGGCTTGGTATCACATACCTTTAATCTCAGCATTCCAGACACAGAGGCAGTAGATTTCTGAGATGGAGGCCAGCCTGGTCTACATAGTGAGTTCCAAGTCTGCTAGGTCTACTAGGAGACCTTGTCTCAAAATCAAATAAAAAAAATAAAATAATTAAAGACTGGAGAGATGAAATGGTTCAATGATTAAGAGTGCTTACTGCTCTTGCACAGGACCCAGGTTTGGTTCCCAGCACTTATATCAGGTGACTCACAACCACCTGTAACTCCAGTTCCAGGAAACTTGATGCCTTCTAACCATAGGCACCTGCATGCACATGGTACACATAAACTCATGGGTACACATACATACACATAATAAATAAATCTTAAAAAAATAATTAAAAAAATAAACAATGTAGGGTTTAGGAGCTAGCTCAATGGTGTAGCGTACATGTAGCATGCATGAGGTCCTGTACTCAATTCTCAGCACTGTAAATAATAATAAATCAAGTAGAATGAAAATATAAAACTTTACATCTTGAGAAGAAGAAATACCATTATCCCAATATTACAACTGAGGAGAAAAGCCTGGCTAGTACTGACCAGTTTAGACCATGTGAAGGCTAGGAGAGAGAGGGTGTAAGGCTAAATTTTCCTTTTACAAATGTCTGTCTTACCAAATTTCCCCCCAGACTGTTTTAAACAACAACAATAGCAAGTGCATTTTTTTTTCTTTTGCACTTTGTAGGTACGAAGATGGATCAAGAGCCCAATGGTCAGTGTGGACAAGCATCAGAGCCCCAGTCTGAAGTACACTGGCCCCACAGGGGTGCACCTTCCTCCTAGGGAACCAGACTTTGAGTCAACCTTGTGTCAGTCATGCCTAGGTGACCATGCTTTCCAAAGAGGGATGCTCCCTGCAGACAAGGAATCCTGTTCATGGGAAATCCAACCTGACTGTGAAGTAAGTTGTTTATTGCTGTGGGCCCATTCTTCTGAAAGGATTAGAAACCTTTTTCTTGTATTAGGCATGTCAAAAAAATATTTTAAAACACATGCCCATAGCCGGGTGTGGTGGTACACACCTTTAATCCCAGCACTTGGGAGTCAGAGGCAGGCGGATCTCTCTGAGTTCAAGGCCAGCCTGGCCTACATAGTGAGTTCCAGGCCAGCTGAGGCTAGAGGGAGACCCTGTCTCAAAAAGACCAAAAAAAAAAAAAAAAAAAACCAAAAAAACAGAAAAACAACCCCCCCCCACATGTTCATAAAGCTTCTTAGGAGGAACTAGAATGGTCATGGTCATGTGCTGGACAGCTTTAGTGGCAATTTGACACACCAGGGTAGAGGGAGCCTCAACTGGGGAATTACCTCCACTGGAGCGGCCTGTGGCCATGTCTGTGGGGCATTTTCTTAATTGTTGAGTGATGTGAGAGGGCTTAGTCCACTTTGGGTGGTGCTACCCCTGGGTAGGTGGGCCTAAGTCGTATAAGAAAGCAGGTTGAGGGGCTGGAGTGCTGGCTCAGCGGTTAAGAGCACTGACTGCTCTTGGAAAGGACCTGGGTTTGATTCCCAGCACCCGCATGGCAGCTACCAACCGTCTTTAACTCCAGTTCCACGAGAATATGAAGCCCTCTCTGACCTCTGCGGTATTGCACAACATGGGTGCACTCACATACGTGCAGGCAATACGCTAAAAATAATAAGATTCTTTTTTTAAAAAAAGTTTAGCCGGGCATGGTGGCACACGCCTGTAGTCCCAGCACTCGGGAGGCAGAGGCAGGCGGATCTCTATGAGTTCAAGGCCAGCCTGGTCTACATAGTGAGTTCCAGGACAGCTGGGGCTACGGGGAGACAGTCTCTAAAAGACAAAAAAAAGTTAAAAAAAAAAGAAATCAGGTTGAGCATAAACCAGAGGAGCAAGCCAGTAAGCAGAATTCCTCCATGGCCTGTGCTTCAGCTCCTGTTTCCAGGTTTCTGCTCTGAGTTCCTACCTTGGGGTTTCTCAGTGATGTGACCAGGGAGATGTAAGACAAATAAACCCTTTCCTCAACAAGTTGGCATTGGTCAGAGTGTTTTGTCACAGCAATTGCAAGTAAACTAGAACAGGTGATCTTTGTTAGGCCCTTTCTTTCCTGCTTGCTTTTTTTTTTTGAAATAGGATCTCACAGTGTAGTTAGTCCTTGCTGGTTGGGATTCTGTGGCCTTAAATTTGCAGTGCTCCAGGTCCTTCCTCTGCTTCCTGAGTGCTAGGATTACAGGCCTGCACCAGCTACACTCTGCTGTTTATCTTTGTTTAATTTTCGAAATTACTTTTATTTATTTTGTGTGTGTGTGTGTGTGTGTATGTGTGTGTGTGTGTGTGTCTGTTCACCAAGGCACAGGTGTGAAGGTCAGAGGTCAGCTTGCAACAATCAATTCTTTCCTTCCACCATGTGGGACTGAGGGATTACCTGAGCTCAGGTCATCAAGCTTGGTGGCAAGCACCTTTACCCATTGAGCCATCTTACCAACCTCCTGCTATGTTTCCTAATTTAAAAAAAAAAAAAAAAATCAACTTTTTAGTGCAGTATTGAGCAGAGGGTCCAGAGATTTCCTGTAACAAAGATTTCCTGCCTGTGCATCGTCTTCTCCATTCTACTCCATAGTTTATGTTAGGGCTCAGTCTTTATTGTTGTTGTTGTTGGTGGTGGTGGTGGTGGTGGTGGTTTGAGACAGAGTCTTATTATGTATCCCAGTCTGGCCTCATTCTTCATCCTCCTGCCTCAGCCTTTTAAGTGCTGGGATTATATACATGTTCCCCCACACCTGGCTCTAGCTCACTTTGGTGTTACATATTCTGTACATTTGGCAAGTATGTAATAACATGTATCCAGCAGTGTACAACCCTAGGGAGCAGCTTCACTGCACTGGAAACCTTCACCCTCCACTTTCTCTTCCTCCCCTGACTCCATCCCTGGCAGCCACTGATCTTTCTACTGCCTCCATAGAGTTGCCTTTCACTGAAAGTTATGTAGTTAGAATTATACACTATATTGTATTGATATTTGTGGTATTCAGCTGTTGGTGCAGCAATGTATTTGTCATCTAGAAATGTCTTATAAGATGTTTAGTCATGTAGAAGATCAATGTTTTAAAAATATATTATTAATTTTTTTGTTTTTATTTTTGTTTTGTTTTGTTTTTTTTGAGACAGGGTCTCCCTGTAGCCCTAGCTGGCCTGGATTCGCTATGGAGCCCAGTCTGGCCTCGAACTCACAAGTGCTGGGATCAAGGGCGTGCGCCACCACGCCCGCCTATATTATTCATTATTTCATGTGTATGCATGTATTGCCTGCATGTAGATAAGTGTGCCCATGTCACGCGATGCCCACGGAGGACAGAAGAGGCTGTTGGATCCCCTGGAACTGGAATTACGTACAGTTGTTAGCTGCCATGTGGGTGCTGGGATTCGAACCCTGGTCTTCTGCAAGAAGAACCAGTGTTCTTAACCACTGAGCCATCTCTCCAGCCCGAAGATCAATTTTTAAATGATGAAAAACAGACTGTAATAGTCCCTGATAGGTTTGCTTGTACCACTGTCACTTAGTTCAACATGATTTGACCCATTTACAGAGATTGACTTTAGCTAGTCCTTATTTTTTCCCCAGTTATTTTTTTTTTCTTACTACTTCAAAAGCATGTGGGGGTTCTTTTGTTTGTTTCTTAGTTTTATTATTTTAAGGAAAACCAGGTAAACTAATTCATCTTCCAGGTTCTAAGATTTCAAAAATTTAAGGTATATTTTTAAAGGATTGAGATTAAATTAAGGTCATATTTTTAACTTATAATTCAATTAGGCTCATATTTATTTAGTTTTTTAAAATAAAAATTTCATGTTACTTTTCATATACTCTATGACATTATAATACAGTTTCTGAAAATACAGCATATTATTATTATTACAAAGTGTAATTAATTGCAAGATATCTTCCAGTATGTCATTTCAAGTCAGTGTACCACAGGATAATTAATATTAATAACCACCAATATCCTCCCCATCCCATTCTTTTTTAAAGCAGAAAACATTTCCCAGAGATAAAGGGGCCATTTCAGATGTTAAATGATTGAAAACAGGGAATCTTAATTCTTTTTTCTTTTCTTTTTCTTTCTTTTAATGCCTATTCATGTATTGTCTGCATGTGTACCCATGTTTTGCAATGCCTCCAGAGGACAGAAGTGTCAAATCTCTTGGAAATGGAGTTAGGGACAGTTGTTAGCTGTCATGTGGGTGCTGGGATTTGAACCTGGGTCTTCTGCAAGAATAGCCAGTGCTCTTAACCACTGAGTCCTCTCTCCAGCCCCAAGAATCTCAATTCTTTTTTTTTGGTCTTTTTGAGACAGGGTCTCTCTGTAGCCTCAGCTGTCCTGGAACTCACTATGTAGACCAGGCTGGCCTTGAACTCACAGAGATCCGCCTGCCTCTGCCTCCCGAGTGCTAAGTTTAAGGCGAGTGCCACCGCACCCAGCTGAATCTCAATTCTTAATCCTAGAGCATCAGGCAAAGGTTTTGAAGCCTTTTTTTTTTTTTTTTTTAATGGAAAAGAATACTTGTCCATTTTCTAGAAGAGATCAGAAGACACAGCATATATGAAACACTTCACAATCTGTAGTGTTGTGCAAATGTATATTATTATTACTACTGTTGGCTGATTTACATATTATCTAATCCTGTGAATCAGACTCTGGCTCAGCTCTAGGTTGGTCACGAAAGGGAATGAATAGATTCTAAATGCAAAGCGTGACAAATTTTTTCTGATATTGAACATTTCAGGGAAGGCAGCCATAAAATGATTCCTCAAAGAATGAACCTGACTGTGTTTAGATAAAATTTTGATTTACAAAATCTCAGAGTCAGTCTACTGGCCAGTTTGCAGGCTCTTGGCATCTAAACAAGTTTACCAATTCATTACAGTCCAAAGAGAGGGCCCCACATATCCTATATGGAGCACAAACGCCTCTTTTAAATATTTACTTCAGAGCCTTCAAACGAGAAGATACTTATATTTAAAAAAATAAAACACACCAGGCCCGTTGGCGCACGCCTTTAATCCCAGCACTTGGGAGGTAGAGGCAGGCAGATCTCTATGACATCAAGGTTAGCCTGGTGTACACAGCATGTTCCAAGTCAGCTGGGGTTACAGGGAGACCCTGTCTCAATAAGAAACTCCCCAGCAAAAAAATTAAAACAGTTATATTTTGTAACCCTATAGGGATAAAATGGTGAAATCACTCTGAACTTTTACAAGTGGAATTGTGTGGCAAGAAGATAGAAAGGCAGTGCAAACATGGAGATTGCATGCAGAGGGTGTTGCTGAGAAGAAAAGACCCTAAATTGTTCTCCTGACATTTCCTAAGTAGAATTAATTGATCCTGCCTATCCAACATTCTCATCTATAAAATGAGCTTCCTTTCAAGAGTTTACAGAAGTTTGCAAGTAGGATAGGAGGTTTAAAAATATTTTTTTGTAAATGCAAATTTACTCGTGTGTACTGTACAGAGATCTGAATTCTGGTATCAGCTCTGATCCAGCTCAGTAGGTCAACTTAGGCAGGTGACGGCCTTGAAGATGTCATAAAATAGTCCTAAGCTAAATAAGCCCTTTGGAGTCTCAGATCATTGAGTGGGAATTTGGTGACCTACAAATGAAAATAAACTCCCTTTGATGTGTTAAAACATGGAAAATGAGGTAAGAATACTTTAAATAAGAAAAAATATTCAGATCCTTCATGAATAATTGTGGGATTTTCTTCCCGAACTTAGAAAAACAATACATTCTAAATGCTACCTTTAGTGGCCAAATCACTAAGAGTTATATTGCAGTTAGTTTGTGCCAAGCCTTCCCATAGTTTCTAGTTGGTGGCCTTTGCATGTACTTTTCCCATGGAAGAAAATGCAGTATTTGTATTGCCAATAAATCACCCCGAG